CAACGTCGCTTCCACTCCTTCAACCGGCCCAATCAGTGCCAAAGTTCTGCTATTTTTAAGGGGCTTGGTCAGGCTATCTTCGGCAATTCCAGCACGTACCAAACCATTGCCAGAATTGACTGCCGAACTCAGTCAACTTGATGTCAAAATAACAACCAAAAATTTCAGTACATCCACCTGCTTTCTTGCATAACTTCCATACCTATACCACTGTTTACTTTAGTCACCCAATTATAAAAAGGGATAAAAACCTAGTGGTTAGCATTGTCTCTGTTAACTTCCGCAAGGCCTTCGATTCTATTTCTCATCATGTCCAGCTGAATAAGTTTCAAGCAGTCGGTGTTGCTGGCAAACTATGGTGCTGGATTAAAGATTACTCAGCTGACCGTTCTCAAGCTACAGTCGTAAATGGTTTTCAGTCCGAAACTTTACCTGTGAAGTTTGGCGTGCCACAGGGATCTGTTTTGGGACCTACCCTATTTTCGTTGTTTTGCAACAATCTGCCTGATATAGTTGAGGATTGTGATGGAAAAATTCACATATATGCTGACGACACTACTATTTACGTGGCTGTGTTTTCTCCTGATATGGTTGCTGTTGTCTTGAACGTCATCCTTCAGAAGTTGTATGACTGGTGCTGCCTTAACCGCCTCATACCCCACCCCCGTGAAACCGAGTACATGATTTAATGCGAGGCCAGTTTGTTGGGCCGCTGCAAGCAGTGTCATTGGGGAACAGTGTTGTCAGTCAAGTCAAGTCGACTAGGAGTTTAGGCGTTAAAATTGACGGTGATCTTAATTGGAACGTTCATGTAAAGGAGTTAATTAAGTCCTCTTCACAAAAATTGAATCTTCTCAGGTCTTTGTATTTCTTACCAACTACAGCAAAGGCTGATTTTTATTTCAAAGTAATTTTACCATCAGTTACCTATGGGTTGGTTGTATGGGGTCCCTGCAGCAAATCGCTCTTTGATGAGTTGGACATCGAAGATACATGTATGTGCCGCAAAGATTATCTATGGCCTGGATTGGTACACACCCAGCAATCAGGTCTTAGCCTTAAGCAAGTGGCCCACTGTTAAAGATTTCTACGAAAATATATTACTTATGTTAGCACACGACTGTTTTCATAACTTTTTTACCTGTTTCTATTATGAAGCTGTTTACGAAATATGAGTGCAACAGTAAATTAGTAAATAAATAAATGAAAGGATTTTTATTACCGTATTTGTATAGGTAACAGCATGATTTGTAGTGATATTTGGCATAAATACGACGAGTGATATTTCAAAATTGTTATACGTAATTTCACGAGCCGTTAGGCGAGTGAAATTTGAGACAATTTCGAAATATCATGAGTGGTTTTTATGCCAAATATCACGAACAAATAATGCTATTATTTGTTTATACTACTACCCACAAAAGGTTTTTAATTTTCACATGTAGGTATTTCAAATTAAGCTGAAATACCACTGCTCTAAGCCAATCAAATTGCAGAAATTTCTCACGTAGTAGTATAAACACATAAAGAATTTAATACTAGATTATACTATTTGCCTGATACACAACTCAAAAAATTTTTGCTCTCAGTAGAACATACACTGTAAATAACAATTACAGGTATCGAAAGTCATGTTTCGAATTCGCAACACAGAATTTTAATGGTAGGAGAATTTCTTAAATCGTCGTGTGAGGAGTTCCAGATGTTTCGCCCATAGCACCCACCTCAGCACCTAAAAGTGTTTAGTCCACACTTAGAAGTATTTACCTTTGGTAAAGACAGCTTCAGCTTCTCGAGTAGATTGTGCGCATTTCCGAGCTGGGGGACATATCCCCTCACCCCTGCGTCATTTTTGTTTTTGTACAATCTTTCTTCACCTGTCCCTAGCTGATACCATTTCTGTCCTCGAAACCTGCGTCGCAAAGGAGTACCGTGCAACTTGATTGAAGCTGCATGGGACGAAAGAGTAAATTGTTGTTTCGGAGGATTTTTTCTAAAACAAGAAGCCGGGGCAGGGATATGAGGTAGGTCCATGGTGCGTAATTACGCGGGTAATAAAATTAAGGTGACTTAGTTATTGCTACGGAATTTATCAACCTGCGAAGCAGTCTTCGATTGTCTCCGGCCTTCCCATGATTAAAAATGTTTAATTTATGAAACTATAAACACAAAAATCTTAATATGTCTTCAAAAATGCTTTAAAGCAGTCCGTGAAACTCACAAATTGCAACATATACAGTAAAAGAGCAAGGGATTTCATTTTTATTTGTACCCTGCGAGCGGAGGCTATATTTTCGCTAAGTGAGTTGTCGTGCGAAAAGTAGCCTCTGCCGACAACAGTTAAATTCCGTCCAAAAATCAGGACGATACATTAAAAAAACGGATTTTTCCTGTTCTTGACCCTTTTAGAGCAATCAATTTTGCTTGCGAATCGCGCGACGAATTTCACGCATGCACAATAGAAAATTGAACGGTAGTCGGCAGAGGCTACTTTTCGCAC